CTTGTTAGGTAAGAGCCAGAGGAAACATTTTACATTGTACCAAAGCCTCCAAATAAAGTGAGTTCTAAGGGGAGAGTGTAAATTCTAAGAAAAGCAGATGTCTGAACTGGAAGGTTCATAATATGTTTCTTGACATACTAGGATTAAGAACATCTTTTGCTTCATTGTTTTTCTGGGTTTGGGGGTTTTTTCTTATAGTTATTTCTGGATGATTGCTACTATGGCTCTTCCACCTCCTGATCCAGAGTTTGTATTACGAGGAACTGCAGCTCCAGTCCACACTCTACACTTTTCCTGCAGAGGCCAAGAACCTGAGTTTCCTATTCTCTTCTCTGGGTGAGTAGAAGCTGTCAAGTAAATCTTCTGTTGGAAGCTGTTGCAGAGTTGGGCATCCTACAAACGTTGTCTTTGAAGATACCATGTTATTTAAGTAGATTGTGTCTGAGAAAAACAGGAACAAAATGCCCCACTAGTAAATGGTTCTTGCAGTGTCTGCACACACCTACTTCCAAGGCAGAAAAGGCAGCAGAGAAGCAAAATTTCATTCTGGACTTTAGATGGTTGTCATAGAAAACACTATCTGTTTCTTCTGTCAGGTCTGCCAATGGTCTGGTCCAAATCTGGAACCTGAAAACACATAGGGTGGACACGACACTGGATGGTCATGGAGGAAAATCTGTATACTGGGTGGAGACGATACGTGGCAGAGATGAGCTCCTCAGGTTAGTGGAGCAGTTGCACAGGAGGGAAACTTGTGGTATTTGCCTTAATATTATACTAAGGGGTTGCTTATCTTTTGCATTAATGAAAGTCTTCTCTCCAAGTATGTGAAGTTGGACACGATTTAAAATACACAAGTAAACTAAAGAATCAAATAAAAGTTCACAAGATGTAAAGTAACATGACTGAGTTCTTGAGAACAAGCAGTTCTTTTCTGTAACTAAAGCATCATGATTCAGTGTCCATGATGTGTTTTGGTATATGAATGATAGTGAGGTGACGTGGGGTCTTTGTAAAAAAAAGAAAAGTGAATTTGGATTCAAGTTGACAAACATTCCACAACTGTTTTACCAAAAGAGTGCTAAAAATATGAACTGCCTTGCAAGGAAGAACTGTTGAAACCAAAGTTATGAGTGATTTCAGGAGGTGGAAAAAGAAAAAGATTGGAGAACACAGAGAAAGAGTAGGAATGGTGGGTTGGGATCCACCAAAAGTGAACAAACATTTGGGTTATATATGTTTATTTTGTTGCAAAACACGTTATGTTCTCATTCAGTGAGGGCGGTTTGAAAGGAACTGTGTACTTTGGATTAGACGGGTGATCAAGCTTTCTCCAGAGCAGATGCCAAAGCGTCTGTGCGACTTCGAGGTGTTCTAACATGTTTATCACGAGAAGACATCTCTTGTAATGTACTGTCAGACTCATTAGCATTTTTATTTGTTGTCTGCTTATGTATAATTAATGCCCCCCTGAAAATTCGAGTTCAGCTAAAATTGTTTGTATAATTAAGCTGTTTTCCCTCTTTCCCTTTTTCTGTTGCATATTTATAACATTTTCACTCATAGTGTCCAGTGTGTATCTTTTTTATATATTTCTGCATCTAAATGTTACCTAGAATGTGCCATTTTCCCCAACACCTCTTCTGTCATCTTTCTGGTATTATAAATGTTTTAGACATTTGCTGTCACAGACTATGGAGACGTTGACCATTGTTGTCCAGATGGCTTCTTGAATGTTGTAGTCCCACAACCGACAGATGTATACATGACTTTGCTTGGCTTACTCTTTCTGACAAGTGAAATAAATAACAATTAAATACAGTTAAAAATATAATGCATGGATGAGGATTACTTGGGGCTCTTTATGATGTGACAATTCATGGGAAAGTAATGAAATGTATTGCTTCCGTCCAAGGCAAAAGTATTGTCCTGTGTCAGTTTATGGACTGGAAGAACAACTACAGCACTAGTACGTAAACAACTGGACTGTTGGGTTTTTTTTTTTATTGTTTTGGTTTGTTTTTGTTTTTTTTGGGGGGGGGGGGTAACTGGTTTTTCCAGTTAACCCTC